AACCAGCTGATATTAATTTGCACTGACAAGGGCCAGGATTGATTTCTAATTAGTGATATATTTCAGCTGGTGTCTTGGATTTCCATGCCTTTTTGCACCTACCTTTCTTAATGTGTTCAATACTTTTTCCCTGTATCATTCCATTTGATTATATCGAACTTAAATCTGAAATTATTTGTTTTTTGGGTTTCTTTGTATGTATGGATTGCATGGGTTGTTACCGACATGTGGTGAAAATTTCAGGTCAATAGCACCTTTAGAAATATATTTACAGAGAAAAGTGGTGACATGTTCAATACTTATTTTATCCGTTGTATGTTCTGGGTAGCCTCACCTACATCATCCTATATGTCATCCTATATGTAGTAGGCAGTCTCACGTATGTCACCTTATAGGGGAGATTTACTAAAATTGGTGCATTCAGAATCTGGTAGCCAATCAGCTTATAACTTAAGCTTTTTTTTTTTTAAAGAGATTCCAAAGGAAAGATTTTTTTTTTAAATATGGTTTTGCACAGAGCAGCCCCAATCCTCTTCTTTTTTGAGTCCCCTGCTTGCCGTCCTGGCTCCTCCCCCCTTGACAAATACACCTAAAAGCAAGTAGCTTGCTATGGGGGCACTCAAGCAGGCTTGTTCCCGAGCTGCACTCTATGTGTCCATTCACACACAGAGCGTGGCTCGACCCCCGCCCCTGTTCTCTCCTCATTGGCTTACTGGCTGTTATTTACAGCAGCAGGAGCCACTGCACTAAGGTAAAACAAGCAGAACTTCTCCTTTCGGATGAAGTTCTGCTTTAGCAAAATAAATAAATAAAACAGCGAAAATCCTGGCACTACAAAAACAACAAATGGGCAACTGTGAAAATACTGTATATCAGCAGCAAATGGCAGTTGTTAATATACACAGGCATGAAACTAGTTATCGCAGTAAAAGAAAACAAATGGCCAATAGCAATTACACATAGCCAATAATATTCAGGCAGACAATAACAGAAGCTCAGCACCCCTCCCCCACAACTTACCTTTTACTCCATGCCACACCAACAGCAGTATAAAGAATGCCTTTATTGTGGATGGCACATCCTCCCAGCCAGATTGCATGGTGACATACACACTATCTCCTCCCACCCCATCCTTCTTTCTCTGTGTCTGGGCTCTATTTGGATCCGCAGGGAGGAGAAAGCAGAATTATCTTTCTTTCTCTTCTTGTCTTCTACTCCACTGTCTGGCATCCTCCCACTGTCATGGTCCCTACTCTGATTGCAGTGGCATTCTGTCAGTCGGCAGGTGTGCCGATGAATGGAGCAGGGTGGCCTGAGTTCCAGTATTCCTTCTAATTAGTCAACAATTCTGGCCAAAAGTGGGTAAGTTCCCACCTATGCCTGTAGCAACCAATTAAGTTTCAACCCAATTTATGAAAACATCAAACATGATTTCTTATTGATTGATATGCAAAATAACTCCACATTTATGCTCATTTTCTTTTCTTTAGTTTTTATGAACCAGCAACTCAGAGCATCACTAGTGTGTGCTAGATGCATCAATCTATAGAAACTTATGAGATTTCCTGTGTAGTGTGTCTACAGGCTCTACACTTTGTGTGTACCCTTTCTAGCTTGTAGCTTTGTAATGTTGGACATGGAAAGTAGCGATCGAGAATCACTTCTCCTACTATATGAGGGATGATTTGCCCTCTTTCCAGAGAAACATACAATTCACAAATCATGATTGCCTGAATTCATAAACAGTATCTGACAGATCTACATGGATATATTGAAAAACAAAATTGATGAACTGGCAATTCTAATCCAATCATCACCAAAGTTGACTTGTTTCCTTGTTTGGGTCAGCAAAACTTAGTTTGCTAAATTATTAATTTCATAGTGAAATTGTACAGATGTATATTCAAAACATGTTTATGTTTCCTACTTTTGATTTCTGTGGAGATGCCTATCTCCTAGATTGTAAGCTAGAAAGAGCAGGGCCCTCAATCCCCTCATGTTTTGCATTGTATTGTTGTTCTGTCACATGTTCTGTCCCCCTTTGTAATGTACAGCGCTGAGCGAACTATTGGCGCTTTATAAATACTGTATAATAATAATAATAACATCTCTATGGGGGTGATTTATGAAAAATGGTTAAAAACGTAAGAAAAATACCACCATCTCACAATTAAATTTCTTTCCATTTACATAGGCATAAATCAATATGTACTGCACTAAACTCATCTAGGTCACGGTGAGGCATTAAAAAAGGAACCGCTAAAGTTTTGGAAGATATACTAGTGGTTCTGGATACACAGATTGCTAGAGAGGGAAAAAAGATTTATTTGCATGATTCCATACCTACTTACTCAAGCAAATGCTGAAATTCTTGTTTTTGTGCTAACAGTGAGGACATGTTAATGTCTTCTGTTTAAAAGAAGGTAATGCTCTATCTCACTTAACGTTTTCTAATTGTATTACAATTTCAGTTTTGCCTTGCAATTGTGATCCTTGGCAGTGTTAATCCCACCTGTAAATTCACTTGCCCATGCAAAGCAAGAGTTGCTCTTTAATAGCCAGACCAGAGACACATTCAACACAACATTCCTTTTCTCCACTGTTGCTGGAAACAAACAAATACCCAATACTTATGGGGAGAATGAGACTCACCCCTGATTGTCTCATGTGACAATACTTAGAATTGGCCACTCATACACATAATGCTATCACATGAGGATGGGGAAAGAGTACTCAGCCCTGTCTAAGTCATAAGCTGGAGCATACACAGAGCTTTCTTTCTCCACTCTCAGCATCCAAAAGGAATATCAGGGGAGTAAAAGGAAAATAAGTATGTGCAGCTGATGGGGCCACCATTATAAAGAATTTTGTTCTCATTAAGAAAAGCACTTTAATGAGGCTGGACCAAGCTCCACATGAAACACATTTCAAAATGCTCATGTTTCCTTTAGAACTGTGTTAATATCTGAACTACATTAATTTTATCGTTTATATGATTTCCACTTCTATATAAGTTGGAAAGGGTAGTAACAAACTCAATCACCAACATCCTAGTCATAATTATCAGTAGTTGCTCCCCTAGCATCATTTGATCTTACACAAAGGTTTTGGGCATCTGCAGATGCACAATAGTGTGCTGCTAAAGCTTGTAATGCTAAACATGTTTATGAGGCTCAGGCAAGCCTTTTGCAAGAAACTCCTAAATGCTTTGATCTGTGGACATCACAGAGTCTGTACTAATAGAATAGTCTGTTTGAGCTCAAAGCAGATGCTTTATACCACCATTAATTAAGTGATAGACAAACTTGCACTTATATGCTTCAAATTAAATTCTTGCAAAATGACAAAAGTGTTGAAACAACTCCAGGTATCAGATCACATTTGTTTATACACCAGCACAGGTCAATGTTTTGGCCCAATGAGAAATTCATAGGCTAGCTTCATCATGACAGCTGCTGGGTAAATAGTCTATAATTCTTGAGTTAGGCTGATGCTCAGTACATTGTCTAGACTATTCTCTGTAACAAAGTTTAAAGGTAAACTAATTTGGTTTTGGGTGATTTTGATTTTCATTAACTTTATAATTGTGTATGTATATACACTATATTGCCAAAAGTATTGGGACGCCTGCCTTTACGCAAACATGAACTTTAATGGCATCCCAGTCTTAGTCCATAGGGTTCAATATTGAGTTGGCCCACCCTTTGCAGCTATAACAGCTTCAACTCTTCTGGGAAGGCTGTCCACAAGGTTTAGGAGTATGTCTATGGGAATGTTTGACCATTCTTCCAGAAGCGCATTTGTGGGGTCAGGCACTGATGTCGGATGAGAAGGCCTGGCTCGCAGTCTCCACTCTAATTCATCCCAAAGGTGTTCTATTGGGTTGAGGTCAGGATTCTGTGCAGGCCAGTCAAGTTTCCCCACCTCAAAGTCACTCATTCATGCCTTTATGGACCTTGCTTTGTACACTGGTGCGCAGTCATATTGGAACAGGAAAGGGCCATCCCCAAACTGCTCCTACAAAGATGGGAGTTGAAATTGTCCAAAATGTCTTGGTATGTTGATGCCTTAAGAGTTCCCTTCACTGGAATTAAGGGGCCAAGCCCAACCCCTGAAAAACAACTCCACACCATAATCCCCCCTCCACCAAACTTTACACTTGCCATAATGCAGTCAGGCAAGTACCGTTCTCCTGGCAACTGCCAAACCCAGACACTTCCATCGGATTTCCAGACAGAGAAGCGTGATTCATCACTCCAAGAAACACATCTCCACTGCTCTAGAGTCCAGTAGCTGTGTGCTTTACAACATTGCATTCAATGCTTGTTGCACAGGTGGCAGCTTCTCACGGGACCCCAGTCCACCAAACGTGGTGGGGGCCAATTACTTGGCACAATGCAGTCAGGCAAGTACCATTCTCCTGGCAACCACCAAACCCAGACACATTCATTGGATTAGAACCAGAAATAACCTCTCCTGCACTCTGAGACTCAGAATAAGGGTGGATGGATGGAACCAGAACTTGAAAAATTTGACCACCAATGCATGTAGGGTTGTGCAGCTCCAAACAAGGCTGGGGAAGCCTGACCAGTACTGCAAAGCGAAACAAAAAAGAAAGCGCACCAACCTTACAGATTACCTCAGTATACCAAAATGTATTTAATACAGAATGATACTCACAAACAACAAAGTAAATCAAGCATCTAAGCTCTGATGAAGAAGGGACGCCCTTCGAAACGCGTCAACCGTACTCTGAGTGTCTACCCCTATGATGGGACTCGCGCATGCTTTTTAATTCTCAGTTCCTTTGAGGACTTATAGTACATGCTTGATTTACTTTGTTGTTTGTGAGTATCATTCTGTATTCAATAAATTTTGGTATACTGAGGTAATGCGTAAGGTTGGTACGCTTTCTTTTTTGTTTCGCTTTGCAGTACATTCATCGGATTTCCACACAGAGAAGCATGATTCGTCACTCCAGAGAACACGTCTCCACTACTCTAGAGTCCAGTGGCAGCGTGCTTTACAGCACTGCATCCGGCTCTTTGCATTGCACTTGGTGATGTAAGGCTTGGATGCAGCTGCTCGGCCATGGAAACCCATTCCATGAAGCTATCTACGCACTGTTGTTGTGCTAATCTGAAGGCCACGCAAAGTTTGGAGGTCTTTAGCTATTGACTCTGAAGACAGTTGGCAACTTCTGTGCACTATGCGCTTCAGCATACGCTGGCCCCATGTTTTCATTTTACGTGGCCTACCACTTCCTGGCTGAGTTGCTGTTGTTCCCAGTTGCTTCCACTTTGTTATAATACCACTAACAGCTGACCGTGGAATATTTAATAGCAAGGAAACTTCACAGATGAACTTATTGCACAGGTGGCAACCTATCACGGTACCACACTTGAATTCACTGAGCTCCTGAGAGCAACCTATTCTTTCACCAATGTTTGTAGAAGCAGTCTGCATGCCTAGGTGCTTGATTTTATACACCTGTGGCCATGGAGGGAATTGGAACTCCAAAATCCAATGATTTGATTTTGGAGGGGTGTCCCAATACGTTTGGCAATATAGTGTATATATAGGAGAAATCCAGACTGAAGGGGATCAAGAAGGTTATTTTTAAAGAGGTGGTCACTCCAAGTTGGTTGTACACCAGCATTCAAGGAGTTTGTAGGAACAGGGGAACAAGCAGATAGGGCATATGTTGTTAAGATTGGTGGGGTCCAAGGAAGGCTTTTTAAGTATGAGGGTGACTAGTGCATGATTTAGAGTGTTGGAGAAGATGCCAGAAGAGAGGGAGAGATTTTAGATGTGAGGTAGAGTGTTGGATAGAGCCAGAGGATGACCACAGTATTTGAAAGGGCATAGGCTCCAGTGGACAGGTGGTTGGGTGGCTGTTAGAAAAAAGTTTAGCAACCTTGTCTATAGTAGCCCAAAGGTGTTCTATTGGGTTGAGGTCAGGGCTCTGTGCAGGCCAGTGAAGGTCCTCCACCCCAAACTTGCTCATCCATGTCTTTATGGACCTTGCTTTGTGCACTGGTGCGCAGTCATGTAGGAACAGGAAGAGGCCATCCCCAAACTGTTACCACAAAGTTGTCCAAAATGTCCTGGTATGCTGATGCCTTAAGAATTCCCTTTACTGGAACTAAGGGGCCAAGCCCAATCCCTGAAAAACAACCCCACACCATAGTCCCCCCCCTCCACCAAACTATACACTTGGCACAATGCAGTCAGGCCAGTACCGTTCTCCTGGCAACTGCCAAACCGAGACACATCCATCGGATTGCCAGAGAAGCATGATTAATGACTCCAGAGAACACGTCTCCACTGCTCTCATGTCCAGTGGCAGTGTGCTTTACATCACTTCATCCGACGCTTTTCATTGCACTTGGTGATGTAAGGTGGGATGTAGTTGCTTGGCCATGGAAATCCATTCCATGAAGCTCTCTATGCACTGTTGTTGTGCTAATCTGAAGGCTACATGAAGTTTGGAGGTCTTTAGCTATTGCCTCTGCAGACAGTTGGCGACTTCTGTGCACTGTGCGCTTCAGCATGCACTGACTACACTGTCATTTTACGTGGCCTACCACTTCATGGCGTTGCTGTTGTTCCCAGTTGCTTCCACTTTGTTATAATACCACTAACAGTTGACCGTGGAATATTTAGTAGCAAGGAAATTTCACGGATGGAATTGCACAGGTGGCAACCTATCACTGTACTACACTTGAATTCATTGAGCCCCTGAGGGCGACCGTTTTTTTCACAAATGTTTGTAGAAACAATCTACATGTCTAGGTGCTTGATTTTATACACCTGTGGCCATGGAGGTGACTGGAACAGGGGTGGACTGACCATTTGGAAACTCGGGCACTGCCCGAGGGCCCGGGTCAGTAGGGGGGCCCATGAGATGCCCCTGATACCTTTTCATAGGCTTTTTTTGAGTTTGGGCAAGGACACAGGGGCCCCATGATCCCCTATTGCCCGGGGGCCCCATGAGTTGTCAGTCCGCCCCTGGACTGGAACACCTGAATCCAATGATTGCACACACACACACTTGGAGTGCTTACTTACTCACCCCTTCCTTCTTTTTCTGTACTCACCCATTCCTATACCCCAACTGAGACTAAAGTCCTACTCTCTCTACTCTTCTCCCTGTACCCCCTTTCTTTTTTTTTTCCTACTTCTTTTCCCTATTTCCCCTTCTTCATCCCCTAACTGTGGTTACTCAGTTGTATACCTTCCTATCTACTAGCATTCGGGGACTCATATACAAGACTGCTAAATCCACAAAAGGATACACTAGCCACAACAAACTACAACACAATCCTAAGGATCAGGAACTGCTTTTATGAGAGAATCTTAATGGCATACACATGTTAATTTTCGTCTTTGTTGAGACTTTGGTTGGATTATAGGGTAACTTCATGTGCTTTTATGTGCAGTTATCGATTGGTATGTACCCAATGTCCTCGGTGTACATAGCACTGTTTCATGTTGTTTTGTTACAGTCTGCTCTTAGTTCTAAATGTAATAAACTGAACTATGTACACACAGGTATGTTTCAAAATACAGAATATATATATATATACATACATATATATATATATATATCTATATATAGTGTATAAACACACACACAAAAGCACTTCACATTCTCCTTAAATCTTTAGTCTTATGTGCCCTGCTGTCTGGGACGGCAGTTTTCAGTATACTAAGAGATTTTTCTTAACCATATTGTACTTTACTACAAGCTGTAATACTGCATGTACTGTGGGGGAAGATAAGTCATTTAAGAGAGAAGAAATCAACCAAATATGGAAAACTTGTACAGAACATTTGCTTCTTTCCCAAACAGGAATTAGCTTTTCAGACAGAAGTGTGTACAATGATTAATGCCCAGATTTAGTAAATCTTTCTAGGTCTTAGTAGCGTGACATGTCTACTGAGTGAAATCAGTTTAAAGTAATGAATCTATTCATAGGTTGGACGGCCATACATTGATGCATCTCTGAAAGCAAAAAGGGATATATAATAATAAACACATGATTTATTAGATAATTGTGTAAATTGGACCTTGGGTGGTGGGGGTAATAATTACTATGTATACCATTGTATAAAGATGATAAACTTGCCCATATTCACTTAAAAGACCGGTTTTCAAAATCTTCTCAACACCAGTGTTTAATGTTGTATTTTCTTAGTGTAAGCCTCTCACACCTGGGGTGATTCATCTTTGTAACAGAAGACATGTGTGTCAGGTTGATATAATTTATTTTGCAGGGACAGGTTCCACCCAAATGTTGAGCATATTATATTGTTCTAGAATTATATTGTTCTCGTGGAGAAGATAAGAATCTGTTGTCCTTATTAATCTACTAGCAAAGTACACCCATAACATGAACAGTTAATGGTGTGGTTGACTTAAGTGTGTTATTAGTTATGTGATTTACATAGCATTTTATAATACTTCAGTTTAAACAGTGCTTTTAAGGTTAGCCATACACACTTTTTTTTTTCTCTCATTCAACCATCTTTTATAGTATGTGTGCTGTGGTCTTTAATGGGCTTCACAAACATGGAGAATGTTTATGTATGACAAATAGTTAATGTAGCTAGCAACATATAGACTTCACTAACATATCAACATTAGCATGTGAAAATGAAGATAGCTATGTGAGAATGGTACTAACACAGTTATATTGTTGCACCCCATATTACAAGCTTACAAACATAGAACACAATGCTATCTTCTACCAAGCTGCCAACTTGTACCACGTTGCTAGTTGTTCATGAATCCTATCATATTTGCTGCTGGTTGCCATACTTATGAGGACTATACCATGCTGTTAAAGACTTTAGTATGACCCAGATATTCAAGGAATTAATGCCAAGTTGTCGTCATTCTTAAATTGCACTTACTCATTGCAAACTATTTTACTGCTAGATACCAAATTTGCAAACATCTCAAAGTATCATGCTCCCTTGCATGAGTACATCAATCATGTGACCATGCAAATAGCTCCCTATTTTTGCTTGCCAACATGGAAACTGCATTGTCTGTAGTCTAATCCAGTGTTTCTCAACCTTTTTTCAGTCAAGGCACCTTTTAAAATTATGGACAGTCTCGAGGCACCCTTTTAAAATTATGGACAGTCTCGAGGCACCCTTTAAAATTATGGATAGTCTTGAGGCACCCTTTAAAATTATGGATAGTCTTGAGGCACCCCATTCTAAAATGTGAAAAAACTTTTCTAATAGTTTTATATAATGCAGCAACATCCACACACGTAGGACACCCAACATTAGAGGTGATTTATTCTTCCAAAACAAATACACTTTTGCACACTGGTACTGACTAGTATTCCAGTGTTTCTCTTCTCCCTCAGTTTTTCTCCATCACTGAGCTAATGTGACCCCAGCACTGATGGAGAGGGGCAGGGGAGGGTCAAACAAGGATGCTGTGCAGGCAGCTGACATCCTCCTTATCAACTGATGATATCAATGGTTGTCAGGACGCTGGCGGCTAGAAGGTTGTAATGGTGCACAATGAAAACCTTTGGCTTTGTGTAACTAAAAGGCAGGCTTATTCAAACCACTGGCTTGTTTGCAAGTTTTGGGCAATTTTTAGACATTTTGCCAAGGCACCCCTGAAGAACCCTCAAGGCACCCTGGTTGAGAAAGGCTGGTCTAAGAATAGGTGCACACTAATGTGGTGCGGGAAGTGTGGCGATCCATGCGTGTTTCCCGCACCAAATTGCAATCCCACTGCCCTAGAAATCTGCGGGTGTCACTACAAAGTTGATGACACCCAAATGCAGGTCAAAAGCCCATATGTCTTCTTGCACCGGATTCCATGGTACAAAACGACCATGCGATATAGTTGTAGTGTGGCTCCTAAAAAGGTGCCTGCACATCTTTGGTATGATGCGGTGCAATTTGAGCCCATTCATTTTGAATTGCATGTGAATTCCACATAAATGTGGTGCGGTACCTGTGCGATTCACATAGGGTTTACAGTGTGAACCGAGGCTATGTGTATGCTTCAAGCGCCTGTACCAAATGTGACCACCTCCTTTAATATATCTCCAGCATCCGTGGTCTCTATGAGGTTGATTTACTAAAACTGGAGAGTGCAAAATCTGTTGCAGCTCTGCATAGAAACCAATCAGCTTTCAGGTTTTATTGCTTAAAGCTTAATTGAACAAGCTGAAGTTAGAAGTTGATTGGCTACCCTGCACAGCTGCACCAGATTTTGCACTCTCTAGTTTTATATAGTAATTATTTATTACAGGTGCTTATATAGTGCTGTCAATCTACGCAGCGCTTTACACATATATATTGTACATACACATCAGTCCCTGCCTCAAGGAGCTTACAGTCCAGGGTCCCTAACTCACATTCATACATACACTTATTAGGGCCAATTTAGACAAGATTCAATGAATCTACCGGTTTTAGGAAATCAA